TTCCACGTCCAAGTCCGACACAGAGTATCTCAAGACAACTAAAACGTATCCATCCGAATATGCCGGTCACGGAGTAAATGGTCCTTCATTTGGTCCGGCTTACGTTGGCGGGTCGAGCACGTCGCTCCGGTTCCAATACGAGACTTCCTGGACCTCACCGGTTTTGGTATTCGCCGAGTTGGACGGCGACTACCAGGAATTGATCATGTGGGAACAGCTCACGGATGCAGCTCGTGCAGCTTTGAACAGCAGCGATAACTTTGGAAGGGCTGAGGTTCCGTTCAGTGATGAAAAATCGAAGACCATCTCGATGAGGCGTGGCCGTTTTAGATTTAAAGCGACTGTAAAACATGTATGCTGACGGATTCTTATTGAACTAATCGATTTGGTTCAAATAGGTCAACATGCTACTGCAGTGACTGGATACCAAAGACAAAGCAATGCTTTTTATCGGCGTTAGATTGTCAAAGCTAATGGTGAGAAAAGTAATTCTGCATGCTGCACTATATGACCAATGATGTATATGACATCTTCGCTTGGAAATGCTCATTTAAGTCGCTGGCAGCGACCTGTTGACATATACTACAGCCCCTGATTCGGCGCATTGTGCCACATACGCCCTTTAGTGTCTTCGGGTGCTCATCAAGCCAGCGCTGCGGGACTACAGAACACAGTTATTCGTCAGATTGCTTGCTCCTTAGACTGGGAATAGCTTTTTCTTTTTGCTATTTAGTATTCAAAACGCATAGTACGTACTGTCGAGGCCTTTCGAACAGGGCTACACTACAATGAGCATTCATGGATCACCATGAAATATCACTATTGGCTGTTAAGTTTGTGAATCTCAATACAAGCTACAAGTGGTAGAAGATGAAGTCCTCCGTTTACATCATTTGCCGACTCAGGATACCTGATAATATCCCACTGCGATCGTTAGCTACGAGTTTATCGAGATGGTTGGAAAGTATACCATATTCTATTCGAAGTGAATTAATTAAGGTTATCCGTTCGAATCTCTTAATCTGTTGTGGTTAGGGGAGAGCAGGACTGATTACTTTGAAAAGAACAGTTCGACGAGAAGCATAATGAGATTTGGTGCTTGTTTGCCAGGTTCTTTAAAAAAAAAGGTAATCCACTTAAGATTAGCATCAACTCACTTTTTTGTTTGTTTCTTTTTATTTTTCTTAAAGGAAAACATCCGGACACACATATCTGGACAGATTTTAATGCGGACAGTCGGTACATCACACGATGGTCACAGCTAGCCATTCGGTATACGAGCGAAAAGCTAAAAAGGTCACGCTAGATTCAGACTCTTCTCATAATTCGCGTCAATGAAGGGAATCTTTACTCACTGAAACCTGCTGTTGTGAGGGCTTCGTGCGCTTCTTCTGTAAGTTAATTCTACATGATAAGAACTTGATACTCGCCATCTACATCCGAAAATGATATATCCAGCCATTCAGGGCTTGGTAAAATACAATATGATATTGATTGCTAGGTGGATCCCATGCCAATTAATAATGGTGTTATTTGTCAGTTTGTTACAATATACATCCATGACAGATGGATGCGTATGTCATATTGCCGCGTCGCACTTCATAAAAAACCTGGGATCTAGCCAAAACGGATACGCGCATTGGAATGAGGAGGGGGGTTTACCTGGAGAACCCTCCCGACGCGCCCCACCTCCCGAACGAACACCAATTCAAACATACTGATCGCATTGATGGATACATTTTTGTGATTATTAAAAAATACTGACTAAAACTACTAACAGTAGAAA